CAACGTGCTGCTCAGCGTGCAGGTCGCTGAGGACGTCCGCAACACCAGCAGGAACCGTGTCGTGGTTAGTACCACCGTGTAACTCAACGATGTACTTGTAGACGGACTTAGCACATCTTTCTTGCAGGTCAATTTTCATACAAACATTTATAAACGGGCAGAATAACGCCTCACTTTTTACTCTAACGTACCGGCGGCGTCGGTATTCTTAGTATGACGTCATAAAAATATAATAGTAAATTTCAAATTTAGATAATCATATATACGCTAGATACAGGAAAATTAACGAAACATGTCAGTTCATTGCTAACTTTGTGGTAATGTCAAGGATAACTTACAAGTGTAATTTTAGAAAAACCCAAATTGCACAACAAAGGATTTTTTCCATCGATGGTCACGATAATATTTACCTTTTACAGTTTTTTTTTTCATTTATTGTAATTGAAAAAAAAACAGTTTAATTATAATCGAATTAAATTTCATGTCACGAGAAATGTTTTGCAAAACAAAAATAACTAAGCAAGCACGCAGAAACCACGGTTGTAATAAGTTGTTGATATACAAGACTTCACATGAAATCGAGCCATCTCAAATGCAAAAGACCAGTCACGAACTTGAATCTTTAAGCAGACGTCAAGATGTCTCAGTCGATTGTGTTTCCCTTAAGATATCATCTGTACACTTAAATTATTTTGTGATGTCACCCTGACATCCTAAATACATTTTTTTATATTCATTTTACTAACCTTATAAAATGATTTGCGGAATTCTCCATTGGCATTGAATTTTCATCAGACTGTAAGTCTGATGAAAATCGTCGTCGTCGTCGTAACTCAACAAAAGTATAACATCGTTTAACACTCTAGATGCGGGTTAGGTAGTTGACAGCAGAGATTGTCTGGCTGCAGGTGGAGCAAGTGTCACCAGGGTTCAGCGAGCGCTACCTGCTGCAAGCGCAGCAGTTCGCGCACGAGCTGGCTCAGTACGAGCAGTACATCCGCGACATGGTCTCCGTCGCTGACCCCGACGTTGACGCGCAGCGCTTCGCGGACGACATCATCACCTTCAGCAAGAGCCTCGCCAAGGTACGGAACCCTCAGACAGCGGACGATTTCTGATTTATCAATAACTAGCTGTTCTCATGCGGCTTTATCCGCAACGAATTATAAAAAACATTATTTTATTGTTTACATTTGTCGAATTCTCAAATGCAAATGTCAAAATTACTGTTATCAAAATAACCTTGTTTCCTTGATGTTGGCAACTCGTAGCTCATGGTCTCTTTCCCACATTAAGGTTTTTATAAAATTTATTTACCCTCTAAGTTTAATAGTGTGAAAATATATAGCCCAAATCAATTGATCAATTCAAATCAATCTTCTTTTTGTTTTAAAAGTCCTAAAATCATGTAATTGTAGGAACAATTACATGATTGTAGGACTTTTAAAACAAAAAGAATTATTCAAAGATATGTTCTAATTGCTGAGATCTTACGCCACAAAAAAGTAAAAGAAGTGTGAGTTTACGCTTTATAATAAAGTTATAAAAAATAAGTATAGATTTGCAACAATCAATAATTCCAGATAATGACCCCGATGGAAGTCCGCCGCAGCGGCACGCACCTCTTCCACGAGGTCAGTCTGTCGCAGCTGCTGCAGGGCACGGCGGGCGGGCCGCCGCAGTGGACACAGGTACTATTCTACTACAATAACATTTCATAGTTTTCTATTATCGAATGTAATTGTGATACTAGCTTTCGCCCGCGACTCCGTCCGTTTTGATAAAAAAACAAAGGTGAGTAGCCTATGTGTTCTTGCAGACTATCCTCTATATCAATGCCAAATTTCATCGAAATCCGTTTGGCCGCTTAGGCTACAAACTCTAACAAACATCCATCCATCCGAACTTTCGCATTTGTATTAATAGTATGATTTATTTATCGCAGCACAACTGGGAGAAATACTTGAAGCTGGTGTTCGCCAACACGAGTGTGACTTTGGACCCCATCACCGACCGCATCATCGTCATGGACCTCCCCTACCTGCAGAAGTTGTCCGTGCTGCTCAACGAAACAGAGCCTGTTGTTGTTGGCGAGTATCATTGTGTTTATGGTTTACAGATTCTATTGACTTAACTAGCTGTTCCCGTGCGACTTCATCCGCATAAAATTATGAAAATTTTATTTTATTGTTTACATCTGTCAAATTATCAATTGCAAATGTCAAAATGACATGACAAAACATGGCAATCTTGTTTCCCTAATGTTGGCAGCTTGTAGTTCATGGTCCCTCTCCCACATGAAGGTTTTTTCCAATTTATTTATACCCCAAGTTTATTAAGCGTAAAAATGTAGCCTAAAGCGTGTTATAAGTGTAGGGCTTTTTTATTAAAAATAGAATTATTTAAAAATATGCTGTGATTTCTAACGTTCTGAGTAAAATTTCTGAATGCAATTGATTAGTTGATTTTCTTGTAAATTCCAGAACGTTTCCTGTGGTGGAGCGTGTTCTCGACGGTGGCGCCGATGACGCTGCGCTCGTTCC